TAACTCACATAATAGAATATATTATTTCTATTACGGAATTTAGAAAGAATTTCTTTCATGATATTGTACATTAAAATATTACAACATTCTGGGGAACAGCACCCCCCGATAGCTGCACCAAGACATTATTGATATAGAAGTCCATTAAACTCAAAGATATTATTGACGAGGACAGATCTAACGAGGCGTAGTAGATCCTCTGTGGGTGGGCATTTTATTTTGTATTGTGATTTGTCAAAATCATCATAGGCAATTCTCACTGCAGATAATATTTCATCAATTGGACAATTTGTAAACATTTGGCTTATATCAAAACTGCATAGCAGACAATCAACATGTGGTTTAATTGTTTCCAATTTGTGTATAAAATCTGATGTTTGTTTTTTTTGCACGATAGGCACAAGAAAATAATCGACATAGCGGCTTATATATTATGTAATTGTGCCGATCTGAGAGATAATTGGTCGACCAGGTGAAACTATGTTGTGAATATTAAACCCATTGTATTTTATATCAGATATGTCAGATTGATTCAATTTATGAATTTTTGGAAGTATGTGCATATGTCCTGATCCATAATTTATTCTATTACCATTAATTAGGTAATTAAAAGTTTCACTGTCAAGTATTCTCCGGTTGAACATACCTATTAGATATTCGTTCAGACTGTTTCTAACACGCTTGAAATCAAAATGGTCAACACTTTTGTAATGATATGAACCAAGCTGTCTATTTGCTTTTGATAAGTAAATACTTTTATCTAGAATTACAACATTGTTGCCCTTGTCATCTTTTTAAATAATGATCGATTTGTCATTTAAAAGTGTTGAAATGCTTAACCTTTCCAAAGCACTCAAATTATCTCTAAATTTTCGAGTCTGCATTGAAGACATTTCATGTTTGGTTTTGAAAATATAATTTTCAAGTGCGTTGCAACTATAGGGTGGCGTATAAACTGTTTTTTCTTTAAAAGGATGAATGTCTTCCTTTTCGTTTTGATGAAAGAGAAATCTACATCTCATCTTTCTTGTAAACTCATCAAAGTCTCTCAGTTAGTCTTTTTTGCCCGTTTCGTGGATGGGGCAGGAATGAATTTCAAACCTTTGGACACAAGAAGATATTCTTTGTTCGTCAATTTTCTTTGCGATAAATTGATGACATGCTCTTTAGCTTGCTTGATTTTATGTTTTAATTTAAAACATTGCATTGCAACTTTATTATTTTGTCTTTGGTTATATGTCTTCCTTTTATTAATTTTGTTAAAGCGTCTAGCCATTTCTGTTATCACAGAAAATGTGGCTAACTTGATATTAACGCAGACTCAACAAATTTAATATTTACATATCGGGGCGTATTAGAACAAATCTGATTGGTGTTCACTTCCGAATGATATGTCAATAAGTATAAACAAAATTTTATACAAATTAACATACCTTTAATTTATGACTAAAATTTATATTCCATACATTGTTTATGAAAACGATAAAATAATTATCGTTCATTAAAACATTGATCCAAATAGATGTGAAGTTTTATCTTGTCATTCGGTATGCTAAAATGTTTTTATTCTCTAATAAGGTCTGCTTCTCCTAAAATTCTTCCTGCTGGTACCCTTTTTCCATTTTGACTCTGTACTATTTCGAGATCTAATGTTAGTTTTGAACTCAAGGAGTGTTTTTTCTTGGTTTTCCTTCATTTCCAAAATCAAAAGGCTGAGCAGCAAATTGTTCTTGTGTTGGAAGAATGTCTTCCTTTTTGGTCTTATTTAGAGAAAGCTTATTATTTTTTTCTAAAAACGTGATGTTGTGCAAACAATAACCAGATTCTTTGCAAACATTTTTATGGTCAATCCTCCTCCTCTTTCTCTCAAATAATGTGTTAATTAGTTTGGCATGTAATAAACAAGGACTAGGCATACGGATCACCAATTGCATGATGATGCACGTGAAGGTTCCAGGGGGAAAGTCAATCCTAAAAATCTTTTTAGGATTGATGTAAAACAATTGCAAGTCTAGTAATACTAGCATCATGTGATCATTATTTTGTAATACAATTACAATAAAATACTAATAGTATGTATACGGAGTCTTCCGAATAAGATTTTTTGCTATCGGAATTCGGATTGATGTTGGAATACGTGGATGTTAGGTGTCACTTTTATACAAAGACAAATCAAACATTAAGAGTCAACATACAGTCTATTATATTTAGAAAGATGCCTATATAAAATAATAAACTCAAAACCGCCCCATGACAAAAAAAAACAGAGTTAATTTAATAATATTTACCATCAAAGATATTCCAACAGGCACATTTGATTTAGTATTATTTACCGTCAAAGATATCCAAACAGGCACATTTAATTTAATATTATTTACTGTCAAAGATATCCCAACAGGCACAAGTGTTTGGTTGAAAAATATCGCCTGCTCTTTTTTAATTTTTATCGGTGGAAATTAAAGAAGGTGTAATATAAACCAGTAGAAGAAAAACACTTCACTGTAACGGTAAAGTAAATGATGATAATGGATAACGTCTAGCGGCAAAGTAAATGCATATTCAGGACGAAAACATGTATATATAATGTGAATATTATTCCTGCTTTGTATTAGACCGACACGCTGTGCCGGATTTTTAACGTGTAAGTTCACAAGCTAACCGTTCGCAGGAAGAAAATTCACCCTACCCGGACACATTTCTGACTCCGAGCCGACCAATCCATGCTCTTACTGATAAATGCCGCTTGTTCAGCGTTGAAACAGAAAAAAAAAACAATTTTAACGTCTTTGTTTAACCAGGTCGGGATTCGAACCAACGACCCCCCGCTCTCGAGGCGAACACACTCCCACGAGACCAACCAGGAGAGCGGTAGTATAGAATATAATACCAAAAACTCAAGTATAATCAACAGTACAGTTTCAAAGAATTTTTACAGTTACTAAAGCTTGCTAAAAGTATCTAACCTAAATTAGATGCGTTAAATGATATTGGAAACTACACGTAAATGTCGATGGACGACTTCAGAGTAGAGTTCATAGATCAACGCTCTCTGCAAATTAAAAACTCTTGCACCAATTAATTGAGGGGTCCAGATGTGGCCAGCTGTTGCAAGGCTAAATTTCTGTCCTTATTCAATATGCCCTCATTTTCCAGTGGTATTCCAAGTTTCACGTCCAACCTCACTGTCGACCTCCTATTGCAAGACATACCTATTGTATTTAAAATTTATGTGTTCTCGTCATAAAAATGCATGAAATATTTGCCACTGGGCGTTAAGCAAACAACAATCAATCAACTTCATAAATTATACCATGTACATAGTACACGAAGACAGGATCTTGTACAATGCTAATATGTAAAATTTCCATTTAAATCACTCAATATATAATAGTGCAAAAATGTTTTGTTTATTTTTTTTTGGGGGGTTATTTGTTTACTACATAACTGAACACTTATAATTTTTTTTTTCAAATATTTCTTTACTATGGTTCTCATCTCCTGTTTTATTACGATTTATAATATATGAGTATCACGATTATGTCAGGCGATTATAAAACTAAGAAAGGTAAAAGGTTTTTTTCAAGGTATTTATGCTTCATTTGGACGTGGAAAGGGAATGACGGACGACTAAAATAAAAGTGTTTGTTTTCATATAATACATTGTATTTCAATTTAAGAAGGATGATCAACGTTGCGAAAATATTTCATCTATTCACGTTTTAATGGAGCCACTAAAACCTACATAACTTGATGCTAAAGATGTTACATTTAATACGATTTTTTTCATTGAAGTTTACAGGCATAGTTTTAATTTTTATTAAAAAACAAACAAACAAAACAAGATTTATTAATACATTGGACTGAACAGACAACACTAATTATTTTGCATTTGCATGTAACGTAGTGTAGGAAAATTACAGAATCATAACCAAAATGAACATTTACCTAAATATTGTGAAGGACCTTGTGCATCTAAGTCTGTTCGATTAGAAGTTGTGAAACAAGCAGTTTAAATAGCTAATTGTTCGAAGTTTACTTACTGTTTTCATATGGTCTGGTCTTTACGAATCTATTTCATGATTACTGACAGAATAAAAACATCAAATATATATAAGAAGAAGTTTTTGTGCAGAATATTCATTGGTCAGTTGTAAATGAGGGCTGTATAGGATTTTGATTGACTCATTTATAAAGTAAAAAATCGTTATTTTGAAAAGCGGGAATTCAAAAATATAAATTTACCCCTTAATTTTATAAAACTATCCTATGGTGTTATTTTAATGCTACAAAATGTTTAATATATAGATAATTAAATGATGTACTGCCATTTAATCGGTCCGTTTCCAATGCAATTAGGTAACTGTTATTTGTACATATCAGTCTGAGTACTGTTTAACTATTATTTAAGTTGAATATATATTTAGACTCGTCCAATTCAAGGGAATTAGGCTTCTGCAAATGTTTTTTTTTGTGTACATTTCTTATATTTTTGACGGTTTGTAAGTCAGTAAAAGTTCAATTAAATTAAGTTAATATTAACATTAATAGACCTCCTCACAAAAAGGGTTGTTCAAATCCCATCGCCCTTCGGGCTCTGGGATCTCAACATCCCTTTTTGTTCGAAGGCCTTTCAATATCAATATTAACTTATCATTGAACTTTTACTATTACGTAAATAATTATCATGAAGCAAAATTCGATTTTTTAGGTCCGTGTGTATGCAAACTTTAACTAGATTTTAGCTGTGCATGTGCTAAACATGTCATGGCATTGAAGTCAATGTCAGATTACCAGTGAAACTAGAAACGATTGCACTAGGAATACCAAAATTGTAATTTGTGCAAAATTTCAAAGCAGATATTTTTATGAACCTCTAACAGAATCAAAAGCAAACTGTCTCCTGTTGTGGTAAGTCACTTTCACTGTCATATTTGCATGACTAATTGCTAAAATATAATATTTAACACTTATGACACAGATGACAATTGTGTATCAGAAAATTATAACGTAGGTATATTGTGGGACTAAGAATCTATTATAAGCGATCACATATACATAGCAGCTATCAATACATGTTCATGTGTATCTGATGAGTTATTGTGAAGCTATATTTCCAAAGTAAACAACACTTAATATTAAGCTGAAGTATTCAAATTTGTGAGAACAACACGAAGAAAGTTCATTTTTAAAGCTAAATTTGGCTTACCAGCAGAGTTTCAATATCATGAAAACTCGTTATGAACAAATCATAATTGTACACAACATACATGTCTACTTCATTTTTACGAAATATACTTGTATTAATTTATGTTTATCTTTACTTTGTATAAGGTGTTTGGACTGTGACGTTTTGACATTCAACCCCTTTAAGATCAACAAATATATCATCATTGACATTTCCAAGGTATTTTCCAGTAATCGTCACTAATGTACCACCATTTATAGGTCCGCTTGATGGATATACCTGAATGATGAATAATTAATAAATGTTGTCTATTAACTGTTTTTTTAATAGTATGTAGGTACAAGAAGAGTCTTCTGATTTGTAAAGTTACCAATTATGAAATTTTGTGCGAATTTTGATTTTCTTGACGGATGGTGCATGCACAGCAGAAGACACTCATCCTGTCGATGCAACCGGAATCGCCTCGTTTTAAGTTAAAGCGATCCCTTCCGTGTTTCTGTGTTACCTCAATTTGTATCTTCATATTGCATTTATAAGAATTGAACATTGTTAAAGGGGTGTTATCTCAAATTTAAGACATGGACTCAGAATGTAAAAGATTATAATAGTTTGATCTGATAAAATTTTTCTGTCATAAAAAGTAATATTCTCCAGCTATAAGTATGTCTGTTTCTGTGTATTGCAATCTCATTTCCATTTAAAGCGTATGTGTAAAATTAAAACGCTTGCGTGTCAATCTGTTGAAATATCTGAGATAGCATATATGATTGGTGTAAATGATGTACCTTAAATAAAAATCAAATGTGATATGAAGGCCACAATCAACTAGAGATCAAAGGATGTGAATGTAAGGAGCTATATGTGACTTTTCAAAATGAACGAAATTTCAACTATATGGCATGCATAGTAATCAATTAAATTTTTTCAGTGCGTCTAAACAATAACAATGAAATTTAGTTGTTCAAATCAACTTCATTTAGACTATGTTGAAAGGATGTGGCTTTTGCAATCATACCAAATCTCCCTATTCTATATATTTATAATTCCAATATCATTACATATAAGCTTGCTATGTTTTTTTGTAAATGCTTTTCATGTCTTGAAAACGTCAAAATAATTCGGACTAATGATATTTTCCACACATCAGAAATATCAGAAATATTGTAATATCTATAAAGTATTTTCAACTAATTTTTACATTTTTGTTTCTGATGTTGTACAGTTACATCAATGTCTACGGCAATGAAGACGGTGTGCACTTGGAAACAAATAAGGGTGTCGATTTTGATATGTTTGATTCATGTGCTTAAATAATAAATATTCCTAAGTTTGCAAACAGGTCAGTTAAATTTTATTCAAAATGCATTGGGCATACCTTTTGTAGGTGTAATTATAAAAGAAACAACAGCAGTTTAAAGTAGTATATGTGTAATCCAAATGTAAACACATATATAAAATGGAAGAAGAATCTTGACACATTAAACCTTACTAATGGGAGTATGAATAAGTTCCTGTATCAAATATTTACTATTTGAAATTAAAAGGGTAATTAGAGTGCATGTGGTATACCTTTTGTAGGTGTATTTTTTAAAAGAAACAACAGAAGTTTATAGTTGTATATGTGTAATCCAAATGTAAACACATATATAAAATGGAAGAATGTTGACACATTAAACCTTACTAATGGGAGTATGAATAAGTTCCTGAATCAAATATTTACTATTTGAAATCAAAATGGTAATTGTTCACCCGAATATTTTTTAGTGAGAGATAGGAGTCGATAGGGGTGATCCTTCGTTTCCAAATTATCAAACATCGTGTCAAAGGTTTATAATATAATTCCGATTTTTGACATCTCCTCGAAGAAATTATCTGCAGTGAAATAATTTCAGGTACTTTGCATATGTATAGGTTTATATTGCATCTCCATGCTGTATGTATCATAAAATTTAAACAGTCAATGAACGTGTTATTAATTTTATTTCATTCATTTAAGACTGATCTTTAATGTTACAAGTCTTGTACCTGATAAATTTCTGGTGAACACTTCAAAACGTAAATCTCTGTAAGAGTGATGTGGTAACATGTAGGGTCTGAAACATACATCACTGACTATCAAATCATTAGTTATTCATTATGCACACTGCATGCATTCTACGTGTTGCTGACATTTGTCAAAAACCTTTTTATGAACAAATTTGAAAGAGAGGAAACAAGTGAAAACCTATCCTCGTTTTTTTATGAATTTCAAATCTCAATTACATAGATAAATATGACACCTATAACTATTATAAAAGCAACATACGACTGCGCATGTGTGATGCCAACAAATTTTAGATGATTGCATATTTTGTCCCTCAAGGTAACTACTACTATGCGTTAATGATGTACCCAAGTGCACTTTCAATCAACAATAACTGTGCATTCATGAAAAAAAGGAAAAAAGTATGTTTGATTGAGACTTGTTTTTTAATAAGTCAAAGCATGTTACCAGCAAATACAAAATTGTATGGAACCCAATCAAGCCATCTACCCAAAATGAAAATAAAAATCTGCTGTTACATTGTCTTTGTCAAGGAATTGTCCACAGCTTATATACCCACATTAAAAACAGTATGAGAGAGAAAGATATATTCATTTATGTGTATACAAATTATACATAAAACGTTAATGCATTTAGACGTAAGACAGAGTAGGGGAATTCTATACCAAAGGAAAAACAATACTGCAACACTATTATAATCAATTGAAATATCCCGGAAATGTAGATTGTGATTTCGTTTTATAATAATGGTATTAAATGCCTAAAGTCCGCCTTTCATTTGTTTGCATATATTCTATTCTATTACTGTAACAGTATAATTTAAAACTACCCATTTGACTTGAATAATACAAAAATATTCTTATAAAGACGACAATTACTAGTGAATTTCAACGAAACACAGTTAATGATAGTTAATGGCGATACATGGTTATACGTTTGAAACCCTGAAAGTGGAGCAAGAGGTGTTTAATGTTTTGGAAGAATTCGTTCTTTTTCTCTCTCTTTATAAGAGTATTTCCCATGTTTAATGCATTTAATGTGATATTATGTTTTTACGTTATTGTTTCATGCAAAAAAGTTTCACAAATAAATAGACGTCTGAACATGTGTAAGAAGACGTTCCAACTTTCAATGAATTTCATCGTCTCTTGACGTAAATAAAGCTTTATTTTCTGTGTAATGTTTATGGATATAGATTTCGGTTTTCTTTATGTTGACCGATGTATGAATTAATCGACGTTCAATAACTAGTAACACATATTACATGCATTTAAGACGAGAATATATGAATGAAATTATAATAATGACATATGATTAAAAACACAGCAGATATTAATTTAAAAGTCCTTTCGTTTGACACAACCGAGGAGCAAAAACAAATACCTCCCACCCTTGAGGCGAGCACGATACCAAAAAACCTCCGAGGCGATAAAGTTCCTGTTATTTTTTTATATTCTTATTGCAAATTTATATTTGAAATAGTAAATATACTTTTCATACCTAGTTCACATGTTTCACCGAGCCATCCATTCAAACAGCCAAATATGCAATGACCGGTTTTAAGGTCACAAGGTCCACTACAGTTAACTGGACACAGTTTAGTACAAAGAGGTCCAAAATTCGAAGGGGGGCAACCTAAAAACACACATAGGATATCTACATAATTTGGCTACACCAGTCCTTTAGAGGTTCCAACCAAATGTTCACTTAAAAAGTATTATGAATGTTGCCTAATTATTAGATATGTAAAAGGACATCTTTAATTAATTTTGTGAAAGTTCTGACAATATTGATATCTATCTCAAAAAGTCATGCTACTGTCATATCCCACTCACGTTACAATTTGTGTTTAAAGTGCTGCAACAGGTGAAATTACCTTCAACAAAAGTTTATCAGGTAAAACTGGAGAAGTCTCCAATCTGATTGAATATGTACAAATAGAACTTGTGCATTTTAATATTTTATTTGTTATCTTTGATGATTTTTTGTTATTGATTGTTAAGTTTAGCTTGGTATTTCTTAACAATTTAAAGTGTTCAAGGAAGATACAAAAATAGATCAGAACGTGGAAAAGACATATAAGATTGCATCTCTAAACACTTTTATCCTCAAAATTTTGTTGAAACCAATGTTCAGTAAACTTTATCTGAAAGGGTCATTTTATCAACTTACATCTATTACTATTAGTATGTCATATCAAATTTAAAAAAACCTCTATTTCTACAATGTTAGGAAAGGAAAACCATAACATGATATTTTGAAAGAAGCTGTTTCTAGTTGTAACCTCATTATTTAATTTTGGATCGCCATCAACATTACGTGATAAACTATGGTAACAGATTACTTGTGGTTGTTGGAGCACACGAAGCAACAATAGCAATATTAATGTGATACAACATCATTATCATAGTAATTCAAAATTAGTTTTAATGTACAACACCCATCATTACGGTCTCCTCAGATGTAAGTGTTTCTAAATGAAATAGCCTTTTGAATACCCCTTCTCTGGGATCACACACTTTGAACAGTATTCTTTAGGGCAGCCTACATTTTTTATAAAGGTGATTAATTTTAATAGATAACGTATATGAGATCTTCTGATTTTTATTGCACAATTGATCGTCAAATAGGAAGTCAAATAATTCAATTAAGTACACTTGAAATATTTCTACAGCCATTTTGAAGGCGAAAATTACTTTATATAAAAGACATAATTGTGTTTTGAAACTTGTATAGCACATAGGCCCCATTGCCAAAAAATAAGAATATGGCTAAAATAACATGACGGACGCAAGCTGTATATGGTAAATTTGAACTATTTATGTTTTACATGCCTTGTGTCTTATATCTTATGATGATGTAAGGTGAACATGTGATATGTCTTATTTAGACAAAACCAGCATCTGGCGTACACATGTATAAGTCCTGGTAAATTAAAGGATTTTTTGTTATATTGCAACTAGAGCACTTCCTCTTGTCTTTATTCACCAAAAATAGTAACGAAGTGATATTTCGTGCAATGTCGATTTCATGTAACGTCATCTTCTTCACAATTTGGAGTTCGTTAAGAAATTGAAAATAAGTTTTGATTTTGTGTAAACATTTTAATATCTATAACTGTAGCCATTTTAATCTGTAGCTACCATATAAAAGAAATTTGGGCCAATGTCAGAAAAATATCAACTTTGTTGTATTCGGCACGATACTGTTGAAGGTCTCGGTATACCTCGTCCTCCAACAGTGGCTAAGCCAAATACAAAAAAAGTTGATTTTTTTCTTACTTTGACCCAATATTGTCTATATATCAATGATGTGTTATCACCTGTAAAACAATAACAATGTAATGTTATTAGTACAATGTATCATATTATTAAAATTCGTTAATGAGGTCATCGAAATTCTCGATATTTTTGTCAGAAATCAATTATTACATGTTATTGCATTCTTCAACTAGGCTATTACATCAAACAATAGCCAAACAAAAAAAAAGCGTAACAGCCCAAGGTCGCCTTTAGAAGTTGTAACCTGTTACATAATTGAATGATAACTAGCCGGATTGTACAACCGGTAATGTATAGTCTACCAACAGCGGAAATGACTCTGTGGTAGCAAGTTATATTTCAAAAAATGCACAGTTTCCATTTTCATCAGCGCTACATACGTTTCAACTTTCCTTAATAAAGCATAATATCATAATTCATAACCTCAAAATGTACCAATCGCAATTTTACTTTCACGACTTATGGTCTAAATATATGTAGACTTATGATGATTCGTGTGCACGTAAAACTGGTTTAAACCAACCACATTTTGCACCTTTATTAAATTGGGCTGCCTTAACAATGTGTTTTTTGGATTTATTTGTAGATTTGTTCTATTTAGAAAATGTGTTTGTAGAAGGTGTGGTCTTATTTGTTTCTAATTACAAATATCTGTTCATGTTTTAATTGATGTCAAATAAACTGGCTAACATTTTGACATCAACAATACATGGTGTGTCAATTAATTGAGATATACCAAAACAATACAGATATAAACACGCTTTTGTTTAAGATCTTTATTAGAATTCATTATTCCATAGTATATATAAATTGAAGCAAATTTTGTAAGTTTTAAACGGTAGGAAGATAAGTCAGAGCTATCCTGTGAAAAGGCGAAAAGGTTGTAGAGAACTCAGGCGTCGCCAACAAATAAAACACCGTTTAATGTTAAACAACTGCTTGAGCTATGGCTTTAGTATCTTTAAAAAAATAAGGCTACATGTAAGTTGTTTTAAGGCAGTTATCGATGCTTTCACAAAGAGTTGAACCGTTAAATAAAAACAATTTCGAATATCAAATGATATGCATAATATCGTCGGTCGAAATGTTCCATGAGTAAATTTTAAAAGTTACAAATTTCTAACGTTGAACAGAAACAAACGACAAAAAATGAGTTATAGTATTAATTTGTATCATTTACCTAGAATATTATTCTCGTTATTCGTTTTAGGTTATCAAACTCAGATATCTTTCTCTCTTTAAACAAAACCCAAAACAAACAAGCAAACAAAATAAATTTTGTCAAAAAAATTTCCCAAATCATCCCCCCCCTAACCCCCCCACCCCCCCCCCCCCCCCCCCCACACCCCCGCCACTAAAAAGACAAAACAAACCCAAACTTCTTTTCCCCCATAAAAAAAACCAAACGTGATATGTAGTAAATATAATTTCGAAAGGTAAATGAACTTTCGGGAAAAGATCAAAACATAACTCATGTGATTATATTAATGTTTTGACTACAAATGCGTGTTTATATCCACAAATACATACCTCTTAATTTCGATATATAAATTTTGAAAATTTCAATTATGTTGTCTTAAAAAGAACACTCACCAGCAATCCCGATTTCACATACTTCAGAAATATTTCTCTGAGTAGGGGGAGCATACACTATATATCTTAACACAGCACTGATGTTGATTTCACTTGGTAAAGATTCATTCCTATATATAATAGTTTCATTTCCTATTAAACCACTCGTGTTTGACGCGTAAATGGTATGAATACCTTCTTGTGTAGTGTTTCCTAATACAATAACAATAAAACGTTATACATGTGATGCGACAAAGAGTCTTCAGTAGCCAGTCTATCAGTGAGAAACATGAATTGAAATACAATCCGTTGTTTATTTTTGACAGATATTTTGTTGATTTTTTTTTTAATGATTCGAGAATAAAACTAAACCTTTTCAAATAACATTTAAAACATCGTAAGGAAAGACTATTTCCAGTGTAAAATATATATGTTCATTGATTGACATCAACGTTTGATAGATATTGCTTTTTTTCTTTTATTATCATTATAAATTTGCCCTTCATGTATTGGGATCAATGATGTTCGATGTTTTGTATATTTTATATAACTGATTTATAGCTTGCATTAAAAAAGTTAGATTTGGATATCGCTTACTATCATCTTGCATTATTTTAACTCAATGATAAATAAAAGACTCGTTTATTATTATATAGAAATCAAATATAGAGTTGGTATCAAACGATATCGAATTTTCAAGAGTTGTTTAACATATTTCTCGTATGTTTTAAAAATGTTCTTTGTGCAAAAACGAAATACGCAAGACATTGTTCTTGTCTTTTCCACCTAATCAAATCACACAAAAATGACCACAATATGGAACACCACAGCTGTCTTATGTGGAACTCTGATATTACGTTATGTTGTTCTATTATTACTTGATGATAGTTTGTCTTTACATAATATGGTTTTGACATTACGTAATGATGTTTTGATATAACTCAATATGGAATAGTCATTACTTAATGATATTCCAATTTTACATGATATGGTTTTGTATTGACTTGATATAGTTTTGTCATTACTTAATATGGTTTTGTCATTACTCGATGTGGTTTCACCATTATTTAATGTAGTGTCATTAGGAAATGTGGTTTTAACATAACTTGATGTGTTTGTGACTTAACGTAATGTAGTTGTTTCATTACATGATGTGGTTTTGTTATTTCGTAATGATGATTTGTCAATTCTTTATATAGCTTTAACATTACGTAATGACGTTTCAAAATTTGACGATTTTACACTACATGATGTAGATATAAGAAAATGTGGTATGAGTGCCAATGAGACAACTCTCCATCCAAGTCAAAGTTTAAAAAAGTAAACCATTATAGGTCAAAGTACGGTCTTCAGTACGGAGCCTTGGCTCACACCGAACAGTAAGCTATAAAGGCATTTGTTTCAGTATTTGATGTGGTCATGTCATTCTTTGATGTGGTTATCCCATTACTACTACGAGGTAAAACCACGTGACCATTTACAAAAAATATGTTCTATTTTTAGACCGATTTCCATATGTCGTTTGTGTAATGCGCTTTGGATGAGTACCGCTATCCATTAAGTTAAAGTTCAAATTAAAGATCAAGTTGTTGTTCAGAGTTATTTGGTATGAAAAAGAGGAACGGCAGACAAAAATAAGAAAAAAAGTACTAAAAAATTAACAGTAATTCGGACATAAGGGGGACCTCCCGAAACCATATGGTCTACCCGTTTTTTCCTTAATTCTCAAATGGAAGCTGTAAATTAATAAATAAATTAAAGATTCTTGTTAACCCTGTGTCGCGCCTGATAATTCTGCTGTCTATGTAAAATCGTAATGTTGACTGAGTGTACATTAACCGGTACACTTAACGGGGGAAAAATGTTTTTCTGTAGATGCTTTTATCTTGATCTTGAAGAATAACTCATATACAAGTTTTATAACGATTCAAGGAGGTTTACAAATTTATCATGTCAAAACAGTTTAATTCGGTAATATTTAATGCATTTAAAAAAAAACCTTATATAGAAATAAAGAAATGTGATATGATTGCCAATGAGACAAATCGCAAACACATACCAAGTTTCGAGTTGAACTTCGAGTTTGCGTCACATTTAAAGATCGAGTTCCGAATTACAATTCGTTGAGTCACCTTTTGACGTAGAGTTCGAGGTAAACCCTTATTTGAGTCTCATTTAGATTAAGAGTTGAAATTCGAGTTATCTAATATGAGTTCTATTTTTTTTTTATCGCGGATCAAGGGCTTTTGCTCGAGCTTCCGAATAGAGAGTTCAGGGGTAGGTATGCGTACAAAAGATAAACAATTTTACAGCATACAAAACACAACATAGAAATTGAAATAAAGTTAGATGTGGTGTGATTGCCAATGAGAAAATTATCCAACATAGTTTAAATGCAGTGCATGCAAGCAATCATAGGCAACCGAAGAGCCTTCAACACACCGTATAGTCGGCCACAAAAGACCACCACGTGAAAATGTTAATTAATTCAAACGAGAAAACTAACGGTCTAATTTACAGCTACGAAAAACAAATATGACACACATGAAACAACGACAACCATTGAACTACAGGCTCCTGGCTTGGGGCAGGCATTTAAAAAAAGTGCACGCGGCGGAGTTTAACATGTATGTCAGCTCTTAACCTTAACCTAACCTAGTGTATAATAGCACAGCATAAGAAGAAAATGTAATGACAGTTTTGATTGGCTCAACTTAATAGATCAGTATGACTGGGTAACATAAATCCATCAGCGTAATCCTGGTGCTTCGGAAGGGTGAGCGGATTCTGCTCAACTTGTGGCACCCGTCGTGTTATTCGTGAAAGAAGAAACCCAGTGATTTGGTTTTATTTGGTAGTTTACATTCGAGGAAAAGATGACGGGATTGTGGTTACGACAACTGGAACCTATCCGTCGTCACCTGTGAAACAGATGTATTTCAATTTTTTTTTCAATTAGTGCGTGGTATATCAGAAACTGCAATTAATAAAAATAAAAGTTTAATATTCATATGTTCAAATGAACATGAACGTTAAAAAAAACCGGAGAATTCTTATTTTATAGAATTGATGCTTTGTCGCTTAGTCCCCCCCCCCCCTCCCATTTCCATGTAACTTTAGTGCGAGTTGATTTGAAGTGTCTCTTTGTTGCAAATACAGTACAAGTCTTTTGATTTGTGTCGTACCTGCGACATTAATGTAGCGACAGTGAGATACAACAAACCTATATAGTCGGCGTTTCATCATTTAGATCGTTAGGTTTCTAGTTGGAATTGTTTTTATATTTTTCATTTCGAGACCATTTTAAGCTTACTATGTGGTATGAGTTTTGCTCATTCTTAAAGACCATACAGTCACACATATATATTAACTTCTACGCCATTTGGTATGTGGTTGAGAGTTGTCACATTGGCAAAGTGGCAAGTAGTTTTGGGATATCCCCCTTATGTCCGAATTACTGTAAATTTTTTAGTACTTTTTTCTTAATTTTGTCTGTCGTTCCCCTTTTTCATACCAAATAACTATGGACAACAACTTGAACTTTAATTTGAACTTTAACTTAATGGATAGCGGTACTCATCCAAAGCGCATTACACAAACGACATATGGAAATCGGTCTAAAAATAGAACATATTTTTTCCAAAATGGTCACGTGGTTTTACCTCGTAGTAGTAATGGGATAACCACATCAAAGCATGACATGACCACATCAAATACTGAAACAAACACATCATGTAGTGTAAAATCGTCAAATTTTGAAACATCATTACGTAATGTTAAAGCCATATAAAGAATTGACAAATCATCATAACGAAATAACAAAACCACATCATGTAATGAAACAACTACATTACGTTAAGTCACATACACATCAAGTTATGTTAAAACCACATTGCTTAATGACACAACCACATTAAATAATGGTGAAACCACATCGAGTAATGACAAAACCATATTAAGTAATGACAAAACTATATCAAGTCAATACGAAACCATATCATGTAAAATCGGAATTTCATTAAGTAATGACTATTCCATATTGAGTTATATCAAAACATCATTGCGTAATGTCAAAACCATATTGTGTAAAGACAAACTATCATCAAGTAATAATAGAACAACATAACGTAATATCAGAGTTCCACATAAGACAGCTGTGGCGTTCCATATCACAACGTTTTTCTTGTTTAAATATGCTAACCTATTTATTGTCTATCATGTCTTCTGTGTGAAAATACGAATGTTTAAATGTTACAAAGGTAACGAAATAATGGGATAGGGTGATTTATATAGTAAAAGCATCAACAATTCATATAAAATCTGTAAATGACATGATAGGTATTATATGAAGAAATAGCAACAAACATACCACCGAAAATAAGAATTATTTCCGACACCATACTCATTTCCCTAATGTCAATCTGTATCCATGAAGAAGATTCTTTAATACTAGAACATGATGAAAAAATGCCGTCATTTACTTGACTAGACGGTTGACTACTCGTTGAATTCTGCGAGACGAATCCTGCAGATGCCAGATTATCTGTGATAAAAATAAATTGAAATTATAATGCATAGTTTGTTTTTAGCAGATATTTTAGTTATTTTTTTCCCGATTTGAAACGCACAAAAACATTTTCCGGTTTAAAAATTAATGTTAATTTCTTGACAACAAAACTCGATAGCTATTGATATTGTTATGATATCCTCAAAAATTGCACTTCGCGTAAGATATTTGGAAAATTTTGCCATAATAAGGTTCGAATAACGCCTGAGTATGATTTAAAAATTATACGTTTGAAATTGCTTACATTTGTTACATCTCATTCCAGTTCGATTCTCCTTACATCCCCAAATACAGGAACCATTTCCAGGAAAGCAATGCTGATCTATACAATTTTCTGAGCAGGACTTTGAGCAGTTAAGTCCCCAAAAATTCTTTTGACAGCCTGTAATTTTTCAAAAGTAAATTTTATTATTTTGTCTGTGATTCATGAAATGAAACGTTGTTATAAGTAACGGTAAGTCAATAGAAAGGTATATGGTAATTTAGTGAGAGGAACTTTGCTCCGAGCACCTGATTTCATAGTATAAATTACCTCTCCGTTGACTATCCAATTTTGCACTTATTTAAACTCGAGTGATCTTATAATTGGTCTATTGATAGTTTATTTTGGCTGACTACTTGCTTCACAGGTGTATCGAAAAAAGAATTGATTAACGAAGTTTAATGTTATGTTAATTTTAACATTATTATCATAGCTGTCATATTTGTTCAATTTGTAACCAGGGTTATGTCAAAGAACGTCTCGTCCTTTTTCTATAAAAAAGTTCATCGGAAGATACCAAAAACCTTGTTGATAAATATTCCGTATTAACTTCACAAATAATACATGATGGTCTTGAAGTATAGATTCTAGGTACTGACGTTGTTTATCATCCTAATTACGTGTTATAGTGTTCTTTTATTTGTCTTTGTAAATTATTCACCTTTACTGTTTAGTCCATTTTTGGTAATATCATTTTGTCGTGGCTCGGTACTTATACATCCCGTTATTGTAGTATAGTAAGTTTTTGAATTATTGTCTTTTTTTTTTTGCTTATGTGCTTTGTCAGAGTGTCTATATTCCATTTTGTTTTTCTTTGTTGACATATTTGTTTGTATTTATCGTGATTCAAATTATAACACAATGTTGACTGTTGTACCCCTATTTTTGACATGTTTCCCAATTATGCTTTGTTTTGTTCACACATTGTTGTCACTATAATGAATTGTATGCGACTGTCATACACATGAGAGGATTAGCTAGCTATAAAACCAGGTTTAATCCACAAAATTCTACAAAAGGAAATGCCTGTACCAAGTCAGAAACAATTGTTTTCTTTTCGTTTAATGTATTGGGCTTTTGATTTTGATTTTTAATAAGGGACTTTCCGTTTTGAATTTTCTTTGGAGTTACTTGTTATTTTACTTTTTTTTTGTAATAGTAATATACAAGATATTGAGTTTATATAAATGCAGCAAACACGCGGTATATAAATTAATTATCAATTAAACATATTCATCGGTGATGTAAAATGACATTTGACTCAAAAATAAAAAGGTTGTACATGTAGCTACTGAAAATATGTATGTTATAATAGAAATATAGGGATGTCTATTTCTTTATCTATACATCTGGTATCTTGTATCTGGTATCTATGAAAAGTTTCTTTATATAGTAAGATGACAAAATAAATTGAAAAAAAAAAACTGGAATAAATAGTTGAGTTGCAGAGAGCGTTCTACATGATTTGAAACATTTTTCTATTTTACAGTAAAACTAAAGCTATGTTGACAATATAGATACGTGGTCCAAAGATAGTCAAGCGGATAGGCATTAAAGCAACAACTTTAAATAGATCAAATACAATATCTAATGTTTGATTTTGTTTTTAATTTGTAAAACTTAAGTTATGTAAATATATATAGATATAGGCGGCATATTTCTGTCATCACAGTTTTTCAATTCATGAATAAAGGGTTCAACTTTCTTCAGAACGTTAAAGGAAATTGATCGCCATCATCATCATGTAATGTGATATGATTTTTTCTCTCTCTCAGGTATATACTACAAATACTCTTACTTTTTCTCAAGTATACATTACAAATGCTCTTCATTGTTCTCAAGTATACATTACAAATACTCTAACTATCATTATGCTTGAACTTCTCTTCACAATGTTTTAAAGTACATACTTTTTGTTTACGAAGTAACTGCATGGACGATGGATGATCACAATAATATAATCGCATTGTACTCTGATTAAGGTTTCAAGATCAATTTGTTTAACCAAAGATTTAAATAGTAGATTAAAGTAATTGCAAACATTTCCTAAATTTGGGACAAAAGCCAGACTCTATTCATATTCTAATGCTCCTCATGGGCGTTAACAAACATAATCAATATTAGTTTGGATAAACCAAAAAATCAATAGTCTTGGCCTTGTTTATTGTAGGAATACCTGTTCAAGGTATGAAAATAGATGATGTGACGTATTTTCATGTACTATAATTAGCATCTACCGGGCTATTTAAAAACATGATTTACCTACCTAATCAAATAAAATAAAAATCAGGGGAAAATGGCCCTACCCCTCTGTCTAAGCCTTACCAATATATTGATAACATAATTAAACAGACACAGAAAAGACAGTAACAGAAAATATTATATAGTTTGCGAACTTCTGAAAAGCAAAAACATTAAGACAGAACACTTCCTCGATAATAACAATAATAACAAAGATAATAATAATAATAATAATAACATATTGTTCCATGACCTTTAAACTTTGTTCCTTCTATCAGATATAAATTGGTTGATTGGTTGGTATTTAACACCACTTTCAGCACTATTGTGCTATTTCGTTGCTATAGGTTTTTATTGGTGGAATGAGCCGGAGTGCCCGAAGAGAACCACCGACCTTCGGTAGGAAATCTGTCAATCCAAATTAATTAAAATTGGAGTCGAGAGCACCTGTCACGTGCAGGATTCGAACTCACAATCTCAGCGTTGACAGGCTAGTGATACAGTAGTTCGACTACTCAGACCACTCGGCGGCCAATGCCACTTTAAGGCCCAGATGATATTTACAATATCAATTTCTTTCCTTCACAAAGTCGTGCTGCTTTATAGCTATATATTTCATTAAGTGATATAAGTTGTATATTCAGTTCTTCTATTTTTATACTTGTGTAGGATTTCTTAAAAAAAATGAAATAATTGATTTATTCTTCGTGATAAAGAATAAAATTTATATTTAACTGATAATAGTACATGAATAATCGTAATGACAAAAGGTAAAAAATGAACTACAATATATTAGAAAATCAACAAACAATAAAGAGTGATTAAAACTCCATTTGCAACAGCTTTTCTGTAAGATATGAGTCAATTGGAGGAGACATTTCTTGATTGTAGTGTCTTTATTTGTATATTATTAATCATGTAGTTAGCTTTGCAACCATTGACATTAATAATATACAAAGGTATGGAATGTTAGGCAATAAATCAACAACTATTGAATAAAGAATAAAAAAAAACATTTGTCTGTATCTTGCAATAGAAGATAAAAGTTGCAAATTTGCATTCGTTTATTATGATGTTCGTCTGGTTGTGTGGGTTTTGACAATTTAAAATGTTCCTTAGTACTGTCTACGTGTGCAAATGACAATACGCAATATAATGTTTAACTCACCATTTATTGCAACGTAACATAATTCAACAATAGGTCCATAGTAGTTGGTGGTCTCATTAGATCCTATATCATCGTAATAAATAACATATTGTCCAAGTTGATAACAAGGAATACTCTGAGTAATGTTTGGAAGACCAGGACCAGGATCTTCATAACAAAGGTAACCGTCAGGTGGGATTGTTGTTGTGTTAGATACATACAGCTTAAATCCTTTCATCCGACAGGCGACTGCAAAAAACATAATCAATTATTATGGAAGAACTTATAATCCGGAAATTAAATTTTTTTAGAAATTCAGATCAAAGGCGTTTAAACACGCATATAGAAATTTTATACCGAATAAGGTATATAATATTATCTAAAACTAGTAGTGGCGAGACAACACTTATGCACCCATCAGAACACGATCCAAAAGGTAAGTCAATAGATCGAACTTTTGTCAAGGGTAAGCCGACCAGAACGAAACAAAAACTTCATCTTTTACTCAACGAGCTACAACAATTTAGTAAATATCAGCAAAGATAATAAGAATCATATGACTTGTACAATTGTCATGAATTTTCGAAGTTCAATGTTTGTATATACACCAAAAAATGTTCCACAGGATCAACAATTTGAAACACACAAAGAATATGCAATTTATCAATATACAACATTAATAATAATAAAATATGACACTAAAGAACAACTAACAAGGTACATGAACATCGAAATTTAAATCGATATATATAAATGTATCTTGGAATATAGATTCCTTACAGAGTTACCAGTAGAGAAAAATACATGTGTTTCGTGTTGTCAAATGCCTAAGGTACTGAAACATTCAAACATAGTTTAAATGCAGGGGAAAAAAACAACCCATCATTTTTTTTGTAAACTACAAAATCATATTCATGACATAATGTGAATGAATTCTAATTGCTATGGGGAATGGAATTCTTTTAAATTATTTTTTCTTTACTCTTATATTTTATAGGCAATATTTAATGGCGAATTGTTTCATGGTATCAAAGGATATTATTTGGAACCTTTTTTCATTATTTCTAAACAAAGTGTGAATTCTATATCATATATCAATGAAAAATAATTTTGAAGGTACAATATTTGGAAAAAACCTTATATTACAATCTCATACTCCAAGGTAAAGAAATTCTAAATGAGGAATTTGTCACGATATTCGGGTTATACAAATTATTATCATTATTTTTATTATTATTGTTATTATTATTATTATTAAAAATTGTATAAAAATTTATCAATGACTTGTTTTACTTTCAAAACAGTTGGTTTAATG